CAAGTTAGGTAGGTCAAAACCATTTCGAATGGGACAAAATACTTTCATGGGTCCTTCTCTGGCCTTCAATATGGACAACCCATATTGGCAAAAACGAAACTTCGAAAATAAATGCTCTCACGCTTCAGCTCTGTTTCTCATTATACGAGTCGATAACTTAAAGTAATCCGGCCAACGGGCCGGGTAAAAGCTAGTATATAGTATAGACAAATAAATAAAAAATACGAGTAATACTCATTTTATTTCATATAGCTCAAAGGACGTACAACTTTATTCATTAGTTTGTAGTAGTAGTAAGAGCGAGCAAGCAAAAGCAAGCAAGCCTACTCTGTACATGCACAGTATGTAGAAGCAGACTTAAGTATAGATAAGTAGTTGATGTAGTTAGTGGCTGATCCATGAATTTTACATAAGGGTGTTTTCTCTCTAAAATTAGATTTAATTAAATATATCATAATTAAATTACATAATTATTAAATATGAAAATATCTGACTAATAAAAGTTACATTAAGAGTTCATACGTGTTTCGTAAAATGTTAAAATACATTCGGTGTCTATAATACTCAACAAATATCTCTCGACATATCCTATTAGACAAGGATATCCGATAATTGGGTTCAATCGTTAAGTTTTGAAAATAATTCGGGATAAGAATAACATTTTACTATTATATTTGGATCTAAAAACAATAACAAATGAGTTGTAGAGTAATTGGAAATAGGTTTACTAATAATGACAGTACCCCGAGTTTAAATCACATACACTACTACTTAAATATTATTTGTATCAATACGCAAACTACTACGGGAGGTTAATTGGATAATCATTTCCCCAAATTTTAAGAGTGTCCCACTACCACTTAAACATTTTTTTTGGTTATACGCAAACTAATATCGCAGGTTGAATAATCGTGTTTCCAAATTTTAAGAGTGTCGATGCATGTATCCGCCACTGGATGTAGTTACCTTTTATTCTCAAAATATTTGTCCGATAGCGCGTATATAACGATTACGATGTATAATCTTTATTTAGTGAACGATATTATAGTCCAAATGATTAAGGTGTTGGACTCACCTCAGCTCGATCACCATAGTAGATTCGAATTTGTATTCTCATCAAGCTTCCCTATAATTTATGAGCAGGAAGTTTAACGATCGGAATTTGGTGGCACGGGGCCTGCTGCTCGGAATGTAGCAAAAGAGTTGCCCGTGTCCGGGGGAGGCGGCTTCGTCGATCCACCGCCGCCGCTGCCGTCTTTGCAGTTCAGACCATTATTAGCGACGACTGCAGCGGGTTGGTCGCTATTAGTAATGCCGCTATTATCAGCAGAGGGAGTGCCGAGTTTGCGATGATGATCTTCATTGTGTGTGTGTGTGTGTGTTTTTCTGCCTGCTAGCTTTGATTGTGTGTGTGGTTCGATCAGTGGTGAATGGGGATCGTATTTATACACCGACGTCGCAGTTCTGGACAGAAGAAATTTATGGGTATTATTTTTTGGTGGAGATCAGATCGTCCATAGTGAAATCGATAAGAGAAAGGGAATCCATAATAATCCATTAACGAATGCTGGTCGCAAAAGCGCGGCGCATAAGAGACGGTGAATCATTTAATTTGGGTATTAATTTGGGAATTTGCCGGCAAAGGGAAGTCTTTTGTTGCGGATCAAGCCGCAAATAAACAATCTGCATACACCGGCGGATCGGAGCTTGTTGATCATTAATTGAGTCTACGCCCTACGGAGTACGGAGCTTGTTGACATTTATCTTAATTTGTACGCAATCGAGATTAGATCGTACGTAGTTCTATGTTCTCGATACACTTCTCGATTTGAGAACCAAAAATGATTCATAATGTTCATCTTCATGGTCACATATGCACGGTCTTCTTCCAACCGATTTAATCCTCTTATCAGACATGAGATATGTTCATCTCTTCTTGCTAATTTATTAGACTTCCCAACACTTTTGTTGATTTCGGAACCATGATGGATCATATGACCGGATAGTGTTTATCTTCGCAACGAAAAAGTAAACCATATTCTTAAATTGAGAAAAATCATAGATCCTAAACCTAAGGATTTTTTCCCGCTCGAATCGCTCAAATGTCTTTGTTTCCCTTCAATTTTAATTTTTTTTCCGTATGTTTGTTTTGTATATTATTTCAAACGAGCTTCTTGATTCAATATTAATGATGGATCTTCAGTTTCGTTATATAGAATCTTCTATATATAATATAAAGATCTTACTCATCAAGTTAGCAAACATGCCTATAAAAGTTGATTCAAAACTCTTACAACTGCCCCAACATGGTGCGGCAACGCCCGTCTGGTATAAATATTAATTTGAAGTACGTCGTGAATTAGGTTTTTAGGGATTTTCTATGGTAATATGGTAAGGTGAAGTAAGGTAACTGGAATTTTTTTACCTGCTATAGCAGGTTACACAGGCTGTATTACGTGAAATACAATAGGTATTACGTAATAGTTACGTAACGTATGGTAACCTTACGTAACAGTTGTAAAGCACCATTACGTAAGCCTTACGTAATAGACGGTTATTTTACGTAATGAATACTAGCATTGCATTACGTAAAGTGTAAAGTCATTACGGAAGCCTTACGTAACACTGCTGATTTAACTAGGGGTGGCTATACGGTCCGGTCCGGTTAAATTGGCCCAAATTGATCCGGTCCAGTCCGGTTTTTTTGAAAATATAAGGACCGAAGATTGGATTGGATACAGTCCGGTCTTGATCCGGTCCGGTCTTGACCCGGTCCGGTCCAATTCGGTCTTGATTTTATATTGAGATTGTGGGAATTTGAGTGGCCTAAGGCCTAAAAGGGTGAGGAGTTGGTTAAGTTTTGTACTAAGTGCAAATGTTTGTGACCGTTTATGCAAATTACCCTTAAGTTTTGGGTGTTGAGCTCTCTTATCCGGTCTTTATCCGGTTTTTTACCTCAAATCTAAGCCCAAAGATTGGATTGGATTGTTTACTATCCGGTCCCGGTCCGGTCTCGGTCCGGGTTATACGGTCCGGTTTCCGGTTTTTCATCCGGTCCCGGTCCAAATAGCCACCCCTAGATTTAACTATTACGTAAGAAATAACTGTCGTATGTAACCCTTACGTAATGGAAGGTCCCTTTACGTAATGAGTATTGGTGTCGCGTTACGTAAAGAGCAAAGTCATTACGGAAGCCTTACGTAACGCTTCCATTTTAACTGTTACGTAAGAAATAACTATCATTCTGTAACCTTTACGTAATGGATGTGTATTTTACGTAACAATTGTAAAAGGTCGTTAAGGAAGTCTTACGTAATGGAAGGTCCCTTTACGTAATGAGTATTAACGTGGTGTTACGTAAAGAGTTAAGTCATTACGGAAGCCTTACGTAACGCTTCCATTTTAACTGTTACGTAAGAAATAACTATCATTCCGGAACCTTTACGTAATGGATGTGTATTTTACGTATCATTTGTAAAAGGTCGTTACGGAAGTCTTACGTAATGGAAGGTCCCTTTACGTAATGAGTATTAACCTCGTGTTGCGTAAAGAGCTAAATCATTACGAAAGCCTTACGTAACGCTTACGATTTAACTGTTACGTAATAAATAACTTTGTTACGTAACCTTTACGTAATAGATGTTTATTTTATGGTAACAGTTGTAAAAAGTCATTACGAAAGTCTTACATAATGGAAGGTCATTTTACGTAATGAGTACTAACTACATGTTACTTAAAGAGCTAAATCATTACGGAAGTTTTACACAACGTTTTCTATATAACAATTGCGTTAAAATTTTTTTAATATCATCAAAATCTGTCGCTAATAGCTTAAAATTTCGTTTGTTTTAATATTACTGAAATAAATTATTCTTTTACCGACTAATTCCTGGTAATTGCCTTTTAAACTCTTTAATTATTTCCTTTTAGAGGCAAAAAACTATCTGTCGGAAAAATCAATCTTTTTCGAGATAATTAAAAAAGTTGCTATATCCTTTTAGTTTTTTAACAATAAATTTATAAGAATAGGATAATTAATGGCCTCTAAACATATCTTTCCCCGGCAAAGTAATCCGCTTCTAATTGCGTTACCTGTTAAAATAGTATGATAAAAAAGAATTTACTGAAAATTGAAATTATAGTATTCTTTACATTAATTGTTGTGTAGGGCGGGGAGAGATGGCCAAAAACTCGGCTCGTCGTAACTGCATCGTGAATTTAAAATGATTTTTAAAAGGGCTTTTATGTAACCCTAAATTGTAAAACTCCGATCCCTTTATGGAGGATGAGTTTCGCTCTGATTTCTCCGCGCGAAATCTCTGCCAGACTGCTACTCGCTCTCCCGTGGCTTCCTCCTTCAGCGAGAATTCTCCTCATCCATTTTAATCACTTCTCCCGTGACTGAAGCCTGTTTTGCAGATCTTTTTGGTGCACAGAGGCTCCAGATCTAGAGCTTTTCTTCTTGTGTCGCAGCAACCGATTACCTTCCCTTAGCTTCTTCATACCCAATCAGTCGGCTGGGTTGACAGGAGATTTTTGGGTGATATTTTACCATATTTTGATTTGGATTTGGATTACTTGTCTTGAGCTCTGATTTCTTCAATTGCTCTGCTTTGCTTGCTGGGTATTACGTTCTATTACGAGTGGGATCCTTTCTTTCATACCCTTCTCCGTGGATTCATTTAGATGGTTCGGCTTCACCAAATTCATTAATTAAATTTCATTCGTTCTGTATTAGAATCAGCTCGTTGCACTGTTATTAAGTTCTGGTTGGCCGTTGTCTTGTTTCTCTTTGGCTGGGTTTTTGTTTTGAGTTTCGACGTATGGATGCAGATCCACAAATCGAGCTCCATTATTACCTGGTGCGATTACTTTTTGCCATAAGATCGTGAAGGTTGGTTTACTTGTTATTTCTAAATATATTGTTCCCGCTTTATCTTCTTTGCAGGTAATCCGCAATAAAAAATCAATTGGTTTTGTTTAGTTTAGGGTGCCTGAATCCACGTCAAGAACAGTAGACAAACAAGGATGGGCTGGTGTCTACATTGACGATGAGGATCAAGGGATCATGGTTCTTTTCTTCATTGTGGATCCGTACGAAGGAGACTACAAAGTATGTACTCTGCTCAACTTAAATGGTCAAGTTGAGAAATATTTGTAATTCAAATTTTTATGTTGAATTAATTAACTGATTGGTATAGTCTTGGTTTCGCAGCAACAACAAATCCAACTTTGCAAGCTCGATCACCAGGAAAAATTTCAAGTATGCTTCGTGCCGAATGACTTTCAAGTTTCAATCTTGAAGGACGAGGAGGCCTATAGAATCACGTTGCAGCCGATATTTCTTTGTAGTTTCTTTATTGTTTGTATGTTTTATTTGTTGAGAATTCTGTTTTGGTTGAATCCATTTGTTGTATGATTGACTCGAGTATATAATAAAGAGGGTTTTTTCTTCATATTTATTTATCAATACTTTCTTTTTTAATAAGTAAACTATAATGTTGAAAACAATAAAATTGTGTAGGCAACGACAATTACATCAGCCTGCAATTCTACCAAGCTGATTCCATAATGCGACGCTAATACTACCTTTTAGAAGCAATGAATTTGCCTCTAATTGATACATTTTGAGGCTAATATATTAGTTTGGGAATGAGTATTTCAATTAATTATTTGCTTTTAAAATATACTTATAGAGGCAAATATAAATGTCTTTGAATAAATGATTAGAGACACATGATATTTGCCGCTAACATCTGCCGCTAAAGAGATTTAGCGGCAGCAGTATTGACAGCACACAATTATGTGCCACTATAGAGCTATCGAGGCACATAAATCACCTATCATGGCAAATAGACTTAACCGCTAATTATCATTTTTCTTGTAGTGAAATAACACAAACATTGCTCTATCCTAGTAGTGGACAAAATGTTAATCATTTCATAGTTCATGCCACAGGTTCAATTCCCAGTAGTGTCACATTTTACCTTTTATACATTTTCTTAACTTTAATAAAATTTTATCAACTTAACTTAATAAATTTGTTTTATGAAGTTAATTTAACAATTTAGTCTGACTCTTTAGTATGCATTGTAGTTTGAATTATAATTTTGCCAAGCAAATTTAATGAGTTAGCTGGAATTGATGAATTAGTTTCTCGTCGCTAATTTTTAGCATTTTCAGTTGATTTTTAAAGAAAGTTCCTCTGAACGAAAAATCTTGGCTGTGTTCCTGTTACATATTGTGAATTTAGCGTCGATGGTTGATATTATGATATTCTCTATTTAAATTTAAGGTGTCAGTGATTGTTAACTTAGAATAAGCAAAGTCGAAAACTATTTCTTTCATCTTGAGAAGTCCCGTTGAGTTTAATAACGTGATTTCTTAATTTCATTGTCATTAGCAAATACTTGGTTCTAGTAGAGCGATATGGTTTATTTTAAATTCGTCTATTTGATTGGTACATCCAACCGATATGATGTAATTTTACCAACATTATTTACTATCTTTGTCTCGCTATCTTAGTTAGTTGTATATTTTTCATGAACATGATATCTTGTGTATAACGTATCTATCATTTGAACCTACTTGGTTTTATCGTCTTTAACTATTAATGGTTAACAATGATGAACGTACAAAAACAAATTGATTGAGCGAAAGATTGAGCTTGATGTGTGGGCTTGACCAGTTAGAGTGTTTTATGTCGAAACGAGCAAGTTGGTCGGTTTTAGATTGTGGTAAGTGATTGTAAACGAAGTTGGGAACTATTTCTTTCATTGATTAGAAGTCACGGGGATCTCACTGACAGGATAACGAGTCAGGGTCCTGGGGAGAAGCCCCCGGTTAGGAGCTGGGGGGTGCATTGTTCCAACCATGTATGGCCTAATCTATTTGAGTTACAAGTCAAATTAATAATTTGGTTTGGTATATTAAAGGGATTCATCTCTCTTAAGTGTTAAGGGTCATTTGGAAGTAGAGATTTCAAATGATGTATTTAGTCAATACACGTTAGTAATAAAATTCATCTTTTTTTGTTATAAAACAAACACAATACTTGTATTTAAGAAAAAGATGAGACCACCCAAATCATTCATTATGGTTGTCCGACTGATATGCTTAATTCCGGAATAGTTGATGGAAGCGCAAGGTTACCGGTTTATACCTTTGTGCTGGTTTGACAAGTGAAATAGTACGACCGGGGGTATAACCAGTTTGTGCCGGTTCATGCCGGTTTAAAAAAAATGTGAAAATGATTAATATCCAAACTATTTAATCATATATAAAACATATTTGTAGACAATTTACTTACAATCCAACCAATACCATCAACTTTTAACTATTGGAATGGATGGACAGACAAAAGGGGGCATGAGTTGGGGACCGGTTTTAAGAGTTTCAGGATCTCGAAGTCCCATCTTTTAATTCTCTCTTGGTTGAGCCTTGGGATTCATGAGTGCCTCAAATGAATCTGATTCGACGTCATCCTACAACATTGGAAAACATCATTACAAGTAGATAAAGTAAATAATTCATAATATGTTAATTAAACACCTTAAAGGTCTTACAACTTGTTCTGCCTTTTTCTTCTTCAGATTTTGAGACGAGCTCTCATTATTAGATTTCACGAACCCTACTTTTCCCTTAAAGACAATAGAAAAGGTAAAACAATTAAATTTACAAAAAAAAAAAATAGAGATTTGCTTCAAATATGAAAGCATCATTACCTTTTTCTTTTTCTTCAATTTTGATAATTTTATAGGTGAACTTGCATCATCTGAAAGCTCCACCATATCCACTTCCGTCTTCAGATGATTCAACTTATGACATAGATAAGTTGAATTCTCATTTGAATTAAAATCATCTTTAGTTCCTTTGCTTACACTGCTCCTGCCCTTTTCAAACGTGACAGCTTCCCCTGCTGGACTCTTCGAAGCCGATTCATTCAATTTATGGCTCTTTACAGGAACGGGTACAGAATCATGGTCTTTGATATTGTTTCTAACTCCCTGTTGTAGTTGACTTTGAATGGAAGCCAATGTTGTCATTACTTGTGAGATTGAAGATGAGATTTCCTCTTTAAAAGCACCGAATTGTGACATAGTGAACTCTGATTCTTTTTTTAATTGACTTTTCAGTTCAATAATCTCTGCTCTAACATCCTGTTTGAAAAATAAACAAAATGACACAAACTGCTAAGATGAAAATTACATAAACAAATAGTCAGATGAAAATCCAACCTCAATTGTATAACAGCTTGCAATATCTTTTCCAAATCCCACCTACATACAGAGATATATCAAATGTAAAAAATCAATACAAGATACAGAATCTTATTCAACAATAATAAAAGAACATTTTGGTCTAGTATTTACCTGGATGCTATCAACCCTACCTAACCGATAAACATTTTTAACAATCTTCGAAATGGAGTTGTCATCCCAAACTCGTTTGCGCGGTAATGAACTTGAGTCACGAGCAAAGTTATGCAATTGCACATGGTCCAAGTGAAAAATCTACATGCAATGTGGCATTAATTCATATTCTATCAATAATATCTATATTATACGACATTAAAGTTTAAACAAAAAATTGATACTTACCTCCAGTAATAACATGCATCCTGTCACAGATTGTTCTCTTGATGAAGAGTCTTCTGGTTTCTTTTGATAGTCTTTTATACCTTCTAAAAGACCATCATAGACGAACTTTTCTCAATTCAAGTTTCCCATAACATTGATGTTCGTTAAAATGTTTAAATAACTATTAGGGACATGAATGGAAGTAGACGGTCTCAAAAGTCTACACATTAAATATAAAAAGAAATTTCCCTGTGAACTCTTCACCTTCCGTGAGATCTTTCACCAAATCTGTTTTTTAACTCAAGCATTTTATTTGTCCAGTACCCAAATTAAATCTTACCCTCACTCCGCCATCACACTCACCTAATTGGGTTTCCACATCCATACCTTGAGCAGGTAATCCCAGTATGGTGACAACATTATCTACACTTACAGACAACCGAATACTGTGCACGTTCAGTTCACTAGTAGTCACATTGAATAATATCATAAGGTCCTCCAAAAGATTCAACTTCAATTTATGCTTCTTCAAGTGCAAGAGTGTACCAAATCCAATTTCTTCAATGGCCCTCTTTTTTCCATCACATAAACTGTCGACGAGCTCACAAAATTGGTGTACGCCACAACGGCTACTCAAATATACCTATGTCAATCAATGCCAACCAATATTCAAATAAACAAATTTCCTATGAAATTAGAAAAGCAAATAAACTAATTTCATACATAATATCAAAACAAAATCACCAAACTCAAAAGCTTAACCGTGAGTACAGTAGTCTTAAAAAGACCACTAGTTTTTAATGGATTATCTTTTTCTTTCTTTGTTGGTTTTCATCATTAAGTTCGGAAGAGACTCTTTCGTCAATCTTACTCATCTTTGAATTGTACATAGCATAAATTAAATTTAAACTTTAATAAAACAAGTACAATGATGAGTAACAGCTCAAAAAAGGTTGGGTTACGTTTCATATTGAACATAAAGCTTGCAAATCCCCCTTCATGCTTATGTATAACTTGCAAAAGCTTTTTAGTTTTATTATTATAGTGATGATCCAAGTAAAGAAGTAATATGAGTAGAATTAACAGGAAAGGTTGATTTCCAACCGTGCTAAACCTAATTCCTACAAAATTAGAGGGTTTTAAAGGGATTTCCTATGGTAACTTGAAGTAAGGTAACTTGAGTTTTCTTACCTGCTATAGCAGGTTTCACAGGTCGCATTACGTAAAATACAACAAGCATTACGTAATGGTTACGTTACCTATGGTAGTCTTACGTAACAGTTGTAAAAGATCATTACAGAAGCCTTACGTAATAGAATGTGTCTTTACGTAATGAGTATTAACTTCGCGTTACGTAAAACACTAAGTCATTACGAAGGCCTTACGTAACGCTACTAATTTAATTGTTACGTAAGAAATAATTGTCGTTCCGTAACCTTTACGTAATGGAATATCTTTTTACGTAATGAGTATTAACCTCGCGTTACGTAAAGTGCTAAGTCATTACGGAAGCCTTACGTAACGCTTCCGATTGAACTGTTACGTAAGAAATAACTATTGTTCCTTAACCTTTACGTAATGAATGTGTATTTTACGTAACATTTGTAAAATGTCATTACGGAAGCCTTACGTAATGGAAGGTATTTTTACGTAATGAGTATTAACGTCGTGTTACGTAAAGAGCTAAGTTATTACGGAAGGCTTACGTAACGCTTCTAATTCAATAAAAATTAAAATAAGGAAAGAATAAAATAAGGAAAATCTACTAAATATGAAAAAGGAAAGAGAATATATAAGAAAGGTAAATGGTGAAGGTGGTGACCGCCAACCCGTTGCTATTAATTTCTTTTTACTTATTTTTTTATTTTTTATTTCTTTAATCAATGGTTTAAAATTAATTTGATCGATTTTAATGGTTTAGATCTAT